TCACAGGCATTTTCCAAACAATTATGCATTTGTTGCTGGTGGAGCTTGATGGTATGTTTGGCAATGTGTACCCCACCATTGAGCAATGCCTCAGAACCTGGGTCCTGCCAAAGTCAATGACAACACCTTTGGCATCTTTGTTCTCCAAAAAAAGACAGGTTGCAAATGCGAAGGCAAACACTTTCAAATGCACTGCATCTGAAGCTATAGGTCTTTTGGGTGTTTTTGGATACTTTCTTATGCAGATTGTCATCCCAAATGCAGAGCAATCTACAAAGGACAAGTGTCAGGTGTTCTTTGCACTTGCAGACATCATTGACCTGATCCAGCTGGTACCCAAGGGAAAGATTACCCCTGCTATGGTTGACAGAGCTGTGACGACATTCCTTTCTCTTTGCATATCATGTGGTTTCAAAGAGAATATGCATACCAAATTTCATTGGTGTCTTCACTTTGGCACTCATCTCCAAAAACATGGTCAACTTCCCAGCTGTTTTGTCCAAGAAAGAAAACATAAGGTTGTAAAGCGATGCTTGGCTATTTCAAGAAAGTGTTTAGTGTTTACTGTGTTGGTTCAATGTTCAACCAATGTCATTATTATCCACCACAGGTTTCATTGACCCTTACCCTGTTAAGGATATGCAACCTCGATCAGCAACACTTTGACCTTTGAAAAAAGTGTACTTTCAGAGCTTATTTGCCATGACCTTGCCAAGCTGAAGGAACCAAACCTCTTTTCAGAGAAGGCAAGGCTTGTCAACAAAGGTGCTGCAAGCAAGGCTTTGAAAGCCATTGTGTTAAATGCCTTTGAGTTGCCTGCTGACACCATTGTGCACAGCTCTTCACAGGCACACCTCCAACCAGCAGGTATTTGCAGCAAAGGTGATTTTTGTTTCCTTCACAGTTCGACCAACAGCCTGCAAGTTTGCCAAGTCTGGATGCATGTGGACATTGACAACATTGCTTACTCTTTGGTTTCCATGCTCGAAGTCCTTCAAGTGGACAAGACTGGATGCTTTGCTACTGTTAGACAGAATGAGATTGCAAAGTTTGTGCATACTTCTTCCTTGGCTTGCACCACTGCACATTCACACTTTGAAAACAAGGACTTCAGAATCCTTGTGCCACTTCAAATGAAGTGAGCAAAAGAGCGCATTCCAGCAGGTTTCAAAACATCCTGGTGGTACTAGTGTGTTCTTGCATGTGTTCTTGCCAGTGTCCTCATGGCACATAGATTTCACATAGCATGTCATTGACTACTTGTTGCAAGCCTGATGGCTTCATGTGGGTGGTTCTCATGCCCCATGCAAGGGCCAATCAGCCAAAGATAGAGTCATGCTACTTCATGGTAAGGTGTGTTCATTTGCATGATCAAGAATTTTGATGCTTAAAGTTTACCTATATTTCACAGAACATGTCATGGACTACTTGTTGCAAGCCTGATGGCTTCATGTGGGTGATTTTCATGTCCCATTCAAGGGCCAACCAGGCCAAAGATAGGTTCATGCTAATTCATGGTAAGATATGTTCGTTTGCATGATCAAGAGTTTTGGTGTTTAAGGTTGTCCATATCAATCAGTGGACATTTGTTGGACTAGCTACTTTGACATAAAACCTGGAGAACAGCTCTTGAGGGGATCTGCAGATGATCCAATGCCAGATGCCTGATAGGCCCAATGAAAGGATCAAGTCCTGGATCTATCATAGAGTGGGCAGGCTCAACCAAAGTGCCATTTGGGAATTCATGGAGGTGCCATTTGGAAGTCCATTTGGGCTAATATAGCTATGCCCCATGCTGTACTGGATTCATTTGGTGGTCAAACCCACTGGCACTCACCAAGTTTAGAGTCCAGCAGAGTGTTCTCCAAATAGCACAATGAGTGATCCAATCTTACACCCATGTCCATCCTCCTATACATACTACACCTGGAACCAAAACCAAAATATTTTACACTAACTAGATATTAACTCTGTAGAGAAAGGGTACATGGCAAAGGCCATTGCCCTATGTGTTGCTCTGGATTTGGGGTTGCATGAGTGATCCAATCTTATGGAGAATGCACCCATGTCCATCCTCCTATACATACTACACCTGGAACCAAAACCAAAATATTTTACACTAACACAAATAGACAGAGATTAACTCTGTTTGTGTTTGGAAACAACAAAGCCTGGACAATGGATTCACATTCCAAGGCACACTTGAATGTGTTTTCACATGAACACACAAAATTGTTTTTGCTTTTTGAAGCAGAAAACAGTCAATTCACAAGCATGTCTATCAGGGAGAATATACAAAGACACTGTGAATATTTATGTAAATGTATATTTTTTGATTAAGAAAACACAAAAACCTAACCGAGGTGCATTTTTATATACAAACTGTTAACCAGTTAGCTAACCAGTTAGCAAACCTGCTAAGTTGCTAGCTTTTCACTCACAACTTAACCACTTAGCTAAGTCCTGTAAACTTTATAACTTCTTTAGTAACTCCTGATAAACAATAAGATCTTCAGGGGACGTCCCAGAAGTGGAACCAAGGCCTCACTCGGATACAATGCAGCACGAATACAGTGGGTCTTGTGTCCGATCGGCGCGTTCTGCTGGAGGGTGCGCACGTCGTTCAGCAGTGACCCTTGGTCGTCAACGTATACGATCGGGCCAAACTGCGCGACCAACTTCGCTTTGCTTCCAATGTGTCCGGTAATCGATGCCCCCTGCTCGGTGTCTGTGGAAAACTTGGTTCGCGTTATCGCGAAAATGTCAAAAGACCAACCAAGTCGACGCTCAAGCTCAGCGACACCAGCTGCAACTCCTTCCTGAGTGGCCTTATTCGAGGCGAAACTGAGGATTCCGATGGAGAACCCTTTTTCCTTGACCGTCCTCAATGTCTGCACGGTCGCCTCCGCCACCGGTGGGTCGTTGTTCGGAAAGCTGAGGGTTTTATGGAAGTCCAGCAGCACGAGTGGTTTGTCTTGCCAGTTCGACGGCGCACCACGTGGTTCGGGAGGTCGAGATGATGGAGAAGGTGCCGTTTGCTCTGGCTGAGCTGGTCTCTCCTTTGGTCTCGGCGCGAGAACCACTGGTCGGACTTCTTCAGTAAGGCGAGGTTTCGACGATGCACGAGTCAACGGCACAGGAGGAGTTCTCGGTGCCGGAGGTGGAGTCGGCAAGTTTTCAATCTCACGCTTCCTGGCGGCTTCCGTCTGCTCAACTTCCTCTTTTGTAGGAACAGGCGGCGGAACTGGAAGTTCCTCAAGAGCTCGCTTCAAGCCCGATCCAGAAGAGCCTTCACCTTCGCGATGACGCGAAGGCGTATCACGACCAATGGCACGCTTCAATGCACCAACTGCTGACTGCTCACGCACAATGTCTCCAGTCTCACTCGACTCTTTTCGTACCTTGGCCTTAGCCGATGTTGCGGTTGGTGGAGGCTTGACACGTTCTTCAACTGGCGGTTTCTCCTCAAACTGTTCCTCGCTCACTGACGGTGAAGGCTTGCCTGTAGACGGCCTGGGGGCCTTCGAGCGAAGTTCACGGGCACGTTCACGAAGGGTATCCGGTTCTGCCGACACCGAATGCTCAGTGGCCTCCTCGGTTGCCTGTCTCGCGATCGAGTCCTCGGTCGCTGAAAAGTCAACACCTGATGCCACTTCCGGCGAAGCGCCGGGAACCTCAGGAGCAATGTCACCAACTGCTGTACGACGAGTCTCACGAGGCTCACCTGTCACCGTGTCAACACTCTCACCTTCAAGCTCCACGTCCTCCTCGGGGACCTCGTCGTCCTGGGACCCTTCTCGATCCCTGCTGTCGTCACGTACAGGGCTCAATCCACCTTCAGGAACCCACACCCAGCACTTTTGCCACCGACCACGAGGCCTCGAACGGGATCTCTCCGTATGTTCACTCGGCGTCTGTGACCGTCTTCGTCGATCGCGAGGACGCTCTTCAACCACCGACTCTTCAGAATCGGATGCAGGCCTGGGCAATCGCCTGGTCTCCCAGGTCTCCACAACTCCAGGGGGAGGGAACCTGGGCTGCCTCGGGCTCTGCGCCCGGTAAACCTCCCTGACACGCGATCGGCTGTCGCGACCACGCTCACGCCCCGACTCACGCTCACGCTCTCCACGTCGCTCTCGATGCCGGGTGGTCCTCTCGGGATCTCTCGGTCTGTCTTCCGTGGGGAGTCCACGCTCCCGACGGGACTGCTGGCTTGGCCTGTTAGGGTCACCACCCCGTGGGCCACGTCGACGCCGCGATCGTTCTCGCGGTGGCATGGATCGCGCCCGGAAGCGCGAGGCAACAAGTGTTCGAAAGCAGTTTCAACACAATGCCGATGTTCTCGTTTTGACAAGCTTGTCTCTCTCTATGTGTATGGTCTCGTTTCTTCAACCACTGATCTCCTTGTAGCTCTTGCGGCTGATAACCAGATAAGTTCGAGAACCTTGGTATATACGTAGTAGGCCGACACAATCGCGATCGAATCCTTTCGGTCGCGGCACGGTCTGTTTTCCCAAAGTCCTTGAGCCAAATCAGGTTGGCGTCCAGTGACACAGTGCAAACGGCAAAGCCGATTACCGATGATGCAAGTCTTTACATGACAATTCCAGTCTTGGACAAGTGTTCCTAGACATCAACTATACATGACGTGTCATCTATACATGAAGTGTGCAACCTCACTCAAAGCTCAGTTCTTCTTGGGGACGTTTCTAGCTGAGGGATTTCTTCTGATACTATATAATTATGTCGTGCCGGTGGTTGGGTGCTTCATTTGCATCGAGGAGGTTGCTTTTGCCCCCCCACCCCCAGAAATGGGTACTATTTAGTACATGTTTCGGGGCTCCATTTTCTTCAAATTATAATTGATTTACTTTCAACCTCCTAATAATTATGGAGAGAACACAAGTACAAGTGTTTCTATTGGTTGGAGGCCATCGCTCTATGGTGGAGGCCATCGCTATTAGGTTCCCTATTAGGTTCTGTTTGAGCATATCCCACACCTGCACTGCTGCTGCTTCGACATCATAGACGTTGGCAACGTCTTGGGAGATCATAAGGAACCTTGAGTCGAACGTTGGCGAACTTGTTTTTCATTTACTAGTCGGATTAGTCGTGAATCTATTGGAGCCGGTTCTTGCAGCAAAAGATTAGCGAGGTCTTCGAAGTTTCTTTCACTGGCGAGCTTCTTTGAGCTTCTACAGCGTCCCTTCCTACTGCTTGCTATTGCTTGGCTCTAGCTTCTTACTGGTGGCCTATCCCCCCAAAACCACCAAACAAAAAATTTGAATGCAAGATTGCATGTCCATTCATGCATCTTGAGCAAGAGACAAGGATGCCACAAGCCGTGGCAGCAGTCCAGCTTCCTCACCCTTTGCCGACTGGTGGAGGAGCGAGTGCGTCTGGCCACGCAAAGGGATGGCGTTTTAAGCTTTGTACTCTTAGGGCATATTGGCAATCTAACTTTTTGATTCATACTCAGTGTTGTATTGGATTCCAGTTGTATCCCTTGGAATTCCGAATGTACTTTGATCTACTTTGATGCGTCCTGCACTGGTCAAAGCAGCGCCTTTCCAGAGCCGGTTTGGCCATAAGCTAAAATGGTGCCGTTGATGCCCCTCAGGGCCTTAAAGGTGAACTCTGCACTCTCTGCGCTCTGTATGGTTTACTGTTTAGTGCTTCGTCCGGTACTTTCAGCGTTTGAATAAGGCGCTTGCCTCACGTAATACAGGAAGGCCGATTTGCATAAAGACGTCGCGCTGTGCCTAGGAATGACCCACAACTGAACGGTTGACTCAAGCCACCCTATGGGACTCTGACATCCGTTCTATGCAATTCAGCAGACAAAAAGGAACAAGACTTGGCAAATTAGGACAGTTTGAACAATGTCTCATCTATTTTCCTTTGTCCTAATTTCTCTTTCTTCTGCTGGACTTTTGGACCTTTAACACTCTATCTTTTCTTTTCTATTAATGGCCTCCAACCTAATAGCAAAAGGAACCTAATAGCAATGGGCTCCAACCTACCTATTTCTTTCTAATTGATTGCAGTCTTGTCAGAATCTTGTGAATTGCTTCGGCTTAGTGGGCTTCGTCCCAGTGCAAGGCACCGAGGATTCCCCGAAGACGCCATCGAAGGCGAACTCCCGTGGCTCACTGGGCGAGGTCTCCGCCTGTGAAAAAGAGCTACTTTGCTCCTAGTAGCGATACCAGGAGCCCCTAGTAGCTTCTGGTTCCTAGTCGTAAAAGCGTCAAGCAAAGCGCGATGAAGCCTTGAGACATGTCCTATTTTTACAAAGCCATGCATTCTGACAACTGCATTCTAACAAAGCCAAGTCTTTCCACACCTGTCCGGCCAGCATCCGCTCGACCGTGTCGACATCATTGCGCACACGAACGGTCTTATCGATGCAATCCACCGCATGACAAGGGCCATGGTCCTGGCGAGTGCTACAGTGGAACAAGGAAGCTACTAGGGGCTCCTAGCCTCGCTACTAGGGACAAGAAGCTACTAGGGACTCCTGGCATCGCTACTAGTAGCATTCTTACTGCTAGTAACAAGAACTGTAGTAGGAGCAAAGGGCATCGCTACGAACGGAGCAAGGACGCTACTAGAGGCTCACCCGTCTGCCAGTCTTTATTTTCGCGTCGGTTCCACTTGAGTGCTTCGGTGTTTCTGGCCTGTTCAATGGGTGGTCGCACACGTGCCCAGACCTGCACACGACCTGATGCGCTTTCCATGGCCCCAACTTTGCACTCCGACAAGCTCTCGTGTTGTGCTTCTCATGACTTCTACTTACTTGTTCTCTTAGCTGTGCTATTTGTCCAGGTGATGCTGACGAATTCTAGTGACACATGCTTTGCAGATTTGATGGTGTCTATATTTGTGCATGTTTGCAATAAATAGAGCGGTGCGAAATGGCTACGGACAAGATTGTGTCCAAGCTCGATACACCACAATAGTGTGCGCATTGAAGATTTGATTCCTCAACCCCCAAAACGAGCAAGAAGCGATCTCCAAGTCGATGGTGCCTTCATGTCATGCAATGTGCTCCAACGGTCCTGATAAATCTGACTTTTGGAATCTAATCTACACACATATCGACTGTATTTCTGCAGCGCGGGAGGCACTGGTGGCAATTGCATCTCCACCTTGGGTGGGACCACAGTGGCCTCGGCGGAAGTCCGCTCAAGCACGATTTCCACCAGTGCTTGATGCAAGCTTTCACGTAGGATCTCAAGTACACTGCAGTCTTAAGAAGAACAAAAGAAAGGAAGACAGAAAAATGATCAGAGAAAAGTGAAACAAAAAGAAGAACAAAAGTGCTATGCCGCATCGAGCCTTCTCTGCCGTGGCACAACGAGTAGAGGCCTGCACGCTTCGCACACATCCACATAAGGCTGTCGAGTCGAGGAATCTTCTCTTCATTTTGGGTGTCAACGTATTTCTCTCAAGAAAAATAGTAGCTTCTAGCTACTAGTAGCAAGGTGGCTTACTACTGCTAGTAGCTTGTCCTTACTAGTAGTAACAAGCTACTAGTAGTAATGCCCTTGTTACTAGTAGCAACATCCTTGTTGCTAGTAATGGATCATCATGTAATTCCATGTAATTGCAATTAATTGCATGTATGTCGTACTTTCCCACATTCACATGATTTTCCGCCAATGAATCGGTCCCAATGCCTCGCTGCCAACCACCAAATCTGGACTCCAAGCTTCTGTCTCAGGGCTACCTGAGCAAACGCTTCAGGGCTTCTGTCTCAGGGCCCATGGAAAGCATTAGTCTAAGAACTGAGTCCGTCAACCGTCCTCTTTGAGTGACTGAGTGTGTTCCGGAAGACTTCGTAAGAAGAATTGAGGAGTCCGCGTAGTTCACGAGGATCCTGGAGCAAACCAACAGCAAGCATGAGGACTTGGTTCATTGGACATGTTTTCCTTCTTAGGGCCGTATATGATACCTAAGCAAATCGATGTTCATTTTGTTGCTAATTCTTTCGCTGGAGGCCATTGCTGTTAGGTTGGAGGCCGTCGCTCTTGGGGTGGAGGCCATCACTATTAGAGGGGTTCTTTCCCAAACGTGCAAATTCTGTTCAAACTGTTGCGCCGTCGCAAGTCAAGTCTCCCCCAAGTCACCTGTGGTGCGACCTCGGCCTTGGAGAACGAGTTCGGTGCGGAACGAGTTTACTGACAAGACTGGAGTGGAGTAGAGTGGAATTTGGATTTGAGAGTGGATTTGGGAGATGTTGACGAAGTGATTCGGAAAGATTTGGAGCAAACTTTGGAAGCACGGCCACAAATCTACTCAGCTACTGCAGCCACAATGATGTTTGTCCACAGGTAACTTGATGCCACTAACATCGTAGTTCTGGTGCTCACCATGCATCCAAAAAAAGTATGATGCAACTTAGAGGTAAAATTGCCTTGTCTGCAGAGTGGATGAGTTGACTTGACATAAGAATGTGAACCAATCTCATCTCCAGCCTGCATCTCATTAGCTGTGAGCTCGGCTGGATGTAACTGGCAAAGCTCCGCAGGATCACACAGGTCACCATGGAGCTTCGTTAAAAGACCAGTTGGAAGGATGCATAAAGCAAACTGGAGGTTGCATACGGCAAAACAAGCCTTTCTCTTAGGTTGGAGGCCATTGCTATTATTAGGTTGAAGCCATTGCTAGTAGGTTGGAGGCCATTGCGCCAGCGCCATTAGATTGGAGGCCATTGCTATTAGATTGGAGGCCATTGCTATTAGGTTGGAGGCCATTGCTCTTAGGTTGGAGGCCGTTGTTATTAGGTTGGAGGTCATTGCTCTTAGGTTGGAGGCCATTGCTCTTAGGTTGGAGGCCATTGCTCTTAGGTTGGAGGCCATTGCTACTAGGTTGGAGGCCATTGCTACTAGGTGGGAGGCGATTGTTATTGGGTTGGAGGTCATTCCGATTAGGTTGGAGGCCATTGCTCTTAGGTTGGAGGTCATTGCTATTAGG